AAAAAAAAAATGTGGCAAATCATGGATACTGCTTGCCTTGTGCTGAGTCTGTGAATTTACTTAAAGTTGGTGGAGAGGAGAATTTTAATAACAAATTTCTAAGTGTAAATTTTATAATTTGCATCTAGAATTATAATTGCAAGTTCACTGGGAAATCTCCAGGTTATGCCACACTTAGTATTTCTTTTTGTGGAGTTTTATGTATTTATAATGTATTATGTCTTTAAGTATATCTGAAAGTCAGGTAAATGCCCAGGTCAGACTAAGAACAATGTGACGAGAATCCCAAATACTGAACTTTCTGTACATATCACCCTGTCTCTTTGACCATGCTCCCCTTAATATTGGTAGAGATGGCCCTGCTAGAAGCAGAATGTCTGTAATGTTTTAGGAATCCATGACCTTTGAGGATATAGTTGTAGACTTCACCCAGGAAGAATGGGACCTGCTGGACACATCCCAGAGAAAGCTGTTTAGAGATGTGATGCTAGAGAACATTAGTCATCTAGTCTCTGTTGGTGAGTCTCTTAATATTTGTTGCATGCGTGCGTGCGTGTGTGTGTGTGTATTCATTCTTTCATTGATTTATTAATTCATTCTACAAGTGTTAGAAGAGCTTTTCTACCTGTCATTCCAAACTCTGCCTGGATTCTTTCATGACTTTTACAACTACCTGAGAGCTATTTGTTTCTTTACTTTTCACTTATATTAATTTTTTATCCCAGTAGAATGTAATCTTTCTGACCACAGTGTTGTTCTTCTTGCTACTCAATCTTCGACACTCAGAACAGTGTTGGCAACTCACTGTTTTTAAATAGAAAGATAAATGTACTGATTTTTAAAATATTGTTATTCTGCTGTAGGATCTCTTGCACAGAGAATCTAGATTGTTCTGATGGAGCATGTGTTTATTGGATTATTTTTGAATATTCAAACACTGAAAACTTGTAATTTCTCACTGATTGAAAATAGTGAGGATTCTGTAGTCTGTCTTTGAACTTAGGCATGGGCACCAGCAATTATTGGTCTTTAATGTCTTTGGGAACACATTCAGGAGTTATACCTTTGCTCATGAAAGACTGTTGATGTTGTTTTCAATGTACTCTTCCCTGGGTGACCTTCCTCATTAGTCGGCACTGTTCTAGGTGACCGTGTGTTATCAGCACAAAACTCAAAATCCATGTATCTTTTTTCTCCACAAACAGGCAAACAGCTCTGCAAATCAGGTGTGCTTTTCCCTTTGGAGCAAGGAAAAGAACTCTCAGAAGGAATAAGTGTTCTGCAAGGCCAGAGTCCAGGTGAGCTCCAAGAAGCTGTGTGCTTCACTAAGAGGAGCAGCATGGTCAGTGAGTGAGTAGGCCCTAAGAGTTACTAAATGAAGATTTCTTAAGTTAGTGATGTTTCTGAAATGTAGGCAAAGGCATATGGGAAAAATTCCTTAGGTATTGTCATTATACCTTACAGGTATCAATTTTTATTCAAGTGTCTTTCAGTCATTGTCTTTGGCTTTAGTGAAGGAAACATTCTTGTACTTATTGGAGTTAAACTTTCCCATAATGGCCCTTGTCATGGTCCTCTTTGAATATTTTCCTTTCTTTACTTCCCGTACTTGCCATCTTCATTTTATTTTTTCTTGTGTCCTAGAAATAGCAATTGTCTTATAATTCTCCACTTTCCAGAGTATACTTAGTCATTTTGTGTGTCAATATTTGAAACATACTCAAATGGGCATTGGATCTGTTTAACATTTTCATTCCCTTCATGACATTCTAAAAAAATTATTTCAGGTATGGAAGGTTACCCTATAAAACGAGAAATGATATCCATGCAACACACCTATAAAAAGGACACATCCATGAATGGTGCAATGGTAAGCATTATGGGTGTGAACCCTTTTATTCCCAAATAGAAACCTTGAAATGGAATAAGTTAGAAATTGGCAGTTACTTAACTGTACTTAAAGTAGGGGTCAAGGCCTTTTTCTGTGGAAAGTTTTGGTTAGTTTGAATTTAGCGAAGAAATTAACTTGAAGTCAAAATCATAACATGAGATCTTATAATAGGACAATTGAATAAATATGACTTTATAGCTAAGCTTTGAAATGTAATAAAGTCTTAAAAATTAATCATATAGCTCTGCCATTGGGATACTACAAAAGAGAAAATCTCTATGCATGCAGGTGGGTCATACACCATGTTTATGTAACTATTACAGGAACAATCATAACTGGAATCTACCACTGAATGATTACTCTAGAATTAATATGTAGAGAAATGAGTAAAGGATTGAATGAGTGTGGGTATACCTTTAATTGTCTTTCATTTCTTTCTCCAAAGCAGAGACCTCATACTCAAGAAGATTCTTCTGAATGTAATGATTTGGGAGAGGATTTCACTGAACATATTACATTGACTCAAAATGTGATGACTCACATGGGAAAGATACATTGTGTAAGCAAAGAATTTGGGAAATCTTTCAGTGACTGGTCATTCTTTAATCAACATAAGGAAATACACACTAGCTATAAATCATGTGAAAGTCATCTGTGTGGTTATGCCTTTATTCAAAGTTCTTCCCTTAGATCACACAATAAGACTCACTCTGGAGAGATAACATTTGAATGTCATGTATGTGGGAAAATCTTCAGTAAAAGTTCTAATCTTAGACGACATGAGATGATTCACACTGGACAGAAGCCACATGGATGTCACCTATGTGGGAAGGCCTTCACTCATTGCTCTGACCTTAGAAAACATGAGAGAACTCACACTGGAGAGAAACCATATAGATGTCATCTATGTGGGAAAGCCTTCAGTAAAAGTTCGAATCTTAGACGACATGAGGTGATTCACACTAGAGAGAAAGTACATGGGTGTCATCTATGTGGGAAAGCATTCTCTAATTGCTCTGACCTTAGAAAACATGAGAGAACTCACTTTGGGGAGAAACCATATGGGTGTCATCTATGTGGAAAGGCTTTCAGTAAATGTTCTTATCTTAGACAACATGAGAGAACTCACAGTGGAGAGAAACCATATGAATGTCATCTGTGTGGAAAAGCCTTCTCTCAATGTTCTCACCTTAAACAACATGAGAGGAGTCACAATGGAGAGAAACCACACGGATGTCATTTTTGTGGAAAAGCCTTCACTGAATCTTCTGTGCTTAAACGACATGAGAGAACTCACACTGGAGAAAAACCATACAACTGTCATGTATGTGGCAAAGCCTTCACGGAATCTTCTGACCTTAGACGACACAAGAGAACTCACACTGGAGAGAAACCGTATGAATGCCATCTGTGTGGAAAAGCCTTCAATCACTCTTCTGTCCTTAGACGACATGAGAGAACACACACTGGAGAGAAACCATATGAATGCAATATATGTGGTAAAGCCTTCAATAGAAGTTATAATTTTAGACTTCATAAGAGAGTTCACACTGGAGAGAAACCATATAAATGTGCTCTATGTGGGAAAGCCTTCAGTAAATGTTTTAACCTTAGACAACATGAGAGAACTCACACTATAAAGACAATAAATGTGGACGATTCTTCAGACATAGCTTCAACCCCTAAATACACTAGAGGACTAACACATTGAAGAAACATTATGTCTGTAATTGTGGAAGAAGCTTTAGCCATCATTACTGCTTCACTCAACCTAAGTTAGTTTAAGATGGAGAGATTCCATATGTATTTTATCTATGTGGCTCAAACTGTAGACATTGGACTGATCATGTACAGCATGAGAGAACTCACACTATAAATCAAATGAATATGGAAGAATCTTTATCCACAGCTCTGTTTAACAAAAGGGGGGAAGCACATCTCAGAGAAATTCTGTGCTTGTCAACAATGTGGAAATAACCTCATTTATAATTCATCCTTTAAAGAATTGAATAAAATCCACAAGAGAAGAACCCTAACTGCAATTGCTGTACACTCTTATTTAGCTAAACACCAGTCTTGGTATGCACAAGAAAATTCAGCGTGGGGTAACTGCTCAAACAGTAAATAAGTGAAAATATTTGTTGCTAGGTAGATGAAGCCTCTTGGACAATTCCAGATATTCATAGTGGAGAAGTTATTCAATGAGAAATTGTTTTATTAATAGAGTAACACTTATATATTAGGCCAGGATTCACATGGTATAAAACACTCCCAATGTCATGAATGAAGGAAACTCTTCAGTTATTACTTATTCCTTAGTTAATAGCAGTATTTGGCCACTGAGGAGAAAACAGTCTGATACAAAAGTGGAAAAGCCTTCATGTAGATTTCATGTCTGAAAAGTCAAACTGTAAGAAAAATTTAAAAAGCCATTAAGCATATGATTTTGCAAAAAATTGGAATTTTGACCAAAGATTTGTTGTTGAAAACATGTAGGATAAAATGTAAAATTCTGAAGTGATCTGGGAGTATTGAATGCAGAATTTTGTAATAAGTAACAAAGATTAAACACAATTAGTAGTGGCAGAAATGCAGGTAGTAAGTGCTGTTGCTGAATAATCTAATGTTATCTAATGTTGGTAAAATTCTAGGCTTTTTATACAGTTTTAAACACATAAATTGGGGCCAATTAGAAAATAACATTGAATAGAACTGATACATGTAGAACACAAAAATTATATGTCCTAACTATAATATTAGTGGTATATGTGTACATGGCAATGATAAAATGAAACATCGATTATTAAACACACACTTAACAGGTAAAATGTCATGGTACATAACTTTGCCTCCTTTATTTAGAAACCACTTTATTGAAGTGTAATTGACAGTACAAGAACGTATACATGTTTAATGTGTACAACTTAGAGATACATTTACACTCATGAAATCATATATGCCATCTAAGCCATAAACACATTTATCCCCTCCAAAGGTTTTGTCCTTTGCTCTTTTCATTATTTTTTCTTTGTGATAAAAATACTTACATAAGGTCAACCATCATAGCAAATTTTTAAGTAAATATTACAGTGTTAAATATAGGCAGTATGTTGTAAAATTTACCTCCTTTTAAAATTTAATACTGCAAAATATTTAAAGTAATTGGAAATGAATCTATTCAAATAAAAATTGGCAGTCCTTTGTAATTGTGGGTACATTAGTGTGAACATTTCCCAGAAATCAGAATCAGAGTGTCATTCTGTGCAATAGAATTTTGTTGCCAAGGGCTTTTTTCTAAAACAAATGAGGACATGGAAGAAGAGTGGAGACATTTGGAGTATCCTATTTTCAGGATGCCTTATATACTTACACTAATTTATGTAATAAAAAAAAGCACTGACCCTTCTAGGGACAGGCAGAATACTGTTTAGCAAAGGTGGCAGAATAGAAAGGAGCCATGACAATCTGATCTTGCACATATTTTCCAGTGACAATGACCATGAATCTACAAATCACCAACTAGAAATGAGTCTCTCGAGTCCCAGCCCCTCCATACATGCAGAGGCTGAGAAATAAAGTTGGAGCTTCTCTACCAGAATGACAAGAGAAGGCTCCGTTCTTGGGTACACATTTGGAAATTATTAATATCCCTGTTTCAAACATGGGAAAACAGAACATAGATGCTTATAATTAATCTAGCCCATGTTTTTCTGAGGGATATGCAACACCCTCCTCAAATATTTCTGTGCTCTAGTTTGTATATTTTATGTGGCTGCTTTTATAAGTTTGCAAATGTTTTCTATGTGTAATGTTTGTTAAACACCTCCACCCATGGACCATAGCTTGTCAAACTCAGCACTTGTGCACTTCTTTATCTTTTCAGTCACTTCTTACTATTTTCTCTATTTTGCACTACATACTTACAGTTACTATAAATTACTTTTCTCCTGACTCCAGTCTAAAGATGTGTGGGTTTATTTGTCTTGTCTCTTTTTTTCTTTGTTTCTAACACAAACACAGATCATGTTTTTTAAAATTGTATGCGAGATATTGCCTAATAAAAAGGAAGGAACTGAAATTCTTGTTTTACCCAGAGATGTTGTCTATTCTCTCTCGAGTGAGGACCCGTCAACTTTCTTCCCCTCAGGAATTGAAATGAACTTTGGCTGGGTTGCAGCTTTGATTAGATTCAATCTGACCCCCATGCCTTTAGGTTCATTCTTAATTTATTGCATGCATCTTTCTGTAGTTGGATGTTATTTTCAAAATACCGTGGGACTGAGAAATAATACTGCTTTTCTTCTCCTGTCCCCACACAATAGCCTTTGGGGAAAAGCAGTCCCATGTGTGGTGATTCTCTAGGTTTCAATCCACCCACCCACTCCACATGTCCATACATTCATCTGCTTATTTTTATTTCCCAGTAGTGTCTTTCTGCCTATGATTTTCAGGGTCTGAACTAAGCCAATTCTCTGAGGTAGGGGAATGTGTAGTTTTCTCACTTCTCCTAACAAGTGCTCTTCTCTTTATGTAGTTTTAGTTCTTTAAGTCCTCTCTATTTTCACAACTCTCGGGCCTTTAAAGTTTATACTTTAAAATGAATCTATATTTTTTATTTTTTGCCTCCCATGGTATTAATTTCCAAATGCTTGAAAACAGTGAGTGTGGAAATGATACATCATTGGACTTCCTCTTTCTCATGTATTGTACCTCAACAAATCCTGTCTGAAGAGGTTGCACTCCAATACCTTAAAATAGTTGTTTTGCATATTTCATCTAGGTTTTGTTATTGTTATTGGTGTGTTGATCCAATTAAAGAAAAAAGTGGGAACTGAAATATTTTACTCTGAAATATTTTGAGAAAAGAATGCTTTATCTCTATTTTTATGAAGAAGATATTTAATTTAGAACTTTTACAATAATGATTATATATGCTGTGGATTGAATGTCTCCCCCCCAAACTTACTCCCCCCAAGCTCCACCCCCATTGTAACAGTGCTAAGAGGGTGGGAAATCCAATTATGGTATTTGAAAGGTGAGGCCTTTGAAAGGAGATTGGATCATGAGGACATTGCCATTGTGAATGGCTTAATCCATTCATGAAGTAATGAGTTACAATGGGCATAGTTCTGCTGGCTTCATGAGGAGATCCAGTGGGAAGTTTAGCTCTCTTGCTCAGCCCATTCTCACCATGTGATACCCGGTTGCCATGAGACCCTGTAGAGTTCCAACCCACAAGGCCCTCACCAGATGTGTTCCTGGGACCTTGTACTTCAAAGACTCCAAAACTAAGAAATAAATTTTGTTTATTTATAAATTACCCAGTTTCAGGTATAAAATTATAAGCAACAGAAATGGACTAATATAAGAAAAATTCTCTACAATTGACAACTTGGAATCACATCAAATCATTTCCTTCACCTGTCTCATGTACTACACACCAGCATAAGACCTGGCTCTGCTTGGTAGTGATAGAGGTAAGCACACATTTTGTCCCTGTGCCACCTGTGTCTCCGCTCTCAGCCCTGAGTTTCCATGTTGATGCTGAAATGTGAAGTTCCCCACAGTGAAAGTACACATATGCACAGCAAGGATTCTCAGACTGTTGTTTGTGTCAGAAATTGAGTGTGGTTATAGGGCATCGTCTTCCCCTCTTCCCATGGTGATTCCTCTCCTGTTGCCCTCTATCTCAGATGCATTCAGTCTTGCACTAAACCACATAGACCCCCAGGGTACATCCCCACAGCAGCTCCCATCACTCCAATCCTATGCAAACTCTCCTCCATCAGTTCTCTTCTTCCTCTGTTTTGCATTCTGACCCTGTGGAATCAGAGGGAATTTAGGTGACTGGCCACCTTCAGGTGCCTGGAACTGAGTAGTCCACCCTGATCCGTATTAGTGGGACATTTAACAAGGCTGTTTAACCAGTGGGAGGGCGAACAAGAGGAATCTTGCTCCAGGAGATCATTGCTCAACTTCCTCAGACCCTTTGGTGACTATAAGATATTTCTGATCCCCTTTCCCAAAAGAAACACAACCAAATATCCTAGATTTGGTGTCCACATCTCCACTTTCCTCCGGCGTCCCACAAACAGTCCAAGTCATTTCTCATTTTGGCGGGTGACTGACTTGCCTTTTAGGGGGTGTCTTTCCTTTTCTTTCAAGTGGTTTCTCCTTCACATTTGTTAAAGGGTCACTATGGAAGGGGATCCGTTGTGGGGAGGCTTGGATAGAGGGAGAGAGGGAACTGAGCCCCATCTCCAAGTCCAGGTGAAATAGTTTCAGTGTCTAGAGTGAGAAAGGGGCTAGCAGGGTGCACCAGCCTGTAGTTGCCTCTCAGATGGCAGGTGTGGCTCCCACCTATTAGATGACAACACTTCTCCTTCCTGACACTTCACCAGAGACCCACCTGGGCCAGACCAAGGAATGTTTCTGGTTATGTGATGCTTGGGACTCAGCCACAGGTGAGGTGAGGCTTGTGCAAGAAGGGTCCTGTGGGCATGTCCAGAAGCAGGAGAACAAGAGCAGAGGGGCAAAGGGCAAATAGTTCAGCCCTGTCTGATCTACAGTCCAGTCCCTAATCAGTAGAACTTGAGATCCTGCCAGGTTAATGCTGCTTCCTTCACCATGACATGCAAATGAGGGCCCTCTTGGAGTCCAGAATAAAGAATCACAGAAGCTAATCTAAATGAACAAAATAACTATTTTAATATATCTTCATTTAGAAAATTTCATCCTTAAAGACACACTGAAATATGACTTTTAAAAAGTTTTAGAAAGATAAAGCATCACCACAGACACCTCATCATGTATGTTTCAGGAAATACTCTCTGAGGGTGGTCAAAATACAAGGGGGAGGAGAGGTGTACAGGTGCTCTGGTTTGAGTGTCCCTTCCAAAACTCACGTTGAAATTTTGTTGCCCTTGTGGCAGTGTTAGGAGATGGGATCATTGGGAGGTTAGGGTGGAGCCCTCATGGGTGGGATTGATGCCATTACAAAAGGGCTAGTTTGGCTCCCTTTTGCAACTCTTTTGCCCTTTGGCTTTCTGCCATGGAAGGACATGGCATTCTTCTTCTCTGAGGGCACAGGAGGAAGGACCTCACCAGATGCTGGTGCCTTGATCTTGGACTCCCCTGCCTTTAGAACTGTGAGAAAAATTAATTTCTGTTCATTACAAATTGCCCAGTCTCAGGGGTTCTGTTATATCTGCACAAACAGACTAAAACATGGGGTCAAGTAAGCTTGGATCCAGAGCTTAGTCCTGCCTCTAATCATAGTCTCTAGGCTTTTATCAGTTTTACATATGGGGTTTCAATTATTTTTAAAGAGCACGGTCTTTTTTTGATTTTTAAGAAGTGTTTTGTCTGTTGGAGCATAAAAAGATAGTAGAGGAGCTCAAGGGTCTTTTGGTTAGGGTAACCTGATAAAAGCTGCCTTTTTTTTTTTTTGTATTTATATAAATTGCATTAAAACTGAAGAGAAAATGCTTCAATTTGTCATTAAATTCTTCCTCTGCAAAAATTTAAAGGATTTTAATTCTAAGAAATTTATAATCAGTGGTTCTCAATCCTCCAAGAGCATCAGAATCACCTGTGAAACTTGTTACACATTGATTTTAAGAACCACGTCTAGGGGCAGGGGAATTAGGTCCAGGTGTGAGCATTTAAAACACTCTTGGGTAATGCTGAAGCTTACCTTATCGTGAGAAGCCCCATAACATATTTTGATCGTAAAGACATAAATTTGATTTGTGTGACTCAGTCAGCAATCACCTAGATAGATCAAAAGGGTCTTTCAAAATCACAGCTCCCAGAACATCTTCAGTTAAGTAACTTAATTATTCAGGCCTCCAAACCTCAACTTATGTTGGCAAGTGGATTTTCATTTTAGGTTTGTATGTTACTTAGAAGTCCATTGCTTTAAATGTAAACCTGTCACCAAATTCTGCTATACTACAGATAGGTGATGTGTAGACATGTGTTAATGAATGATCGCTTTTGCTGGCAAGTTGAAGAGCGAGAACCTTGATTCCTAAGTTAAACTTACATGATTTCTCTACAGATAAACAACCACCACAGCCTTAAAATTGTCATTTGAAAAAATTGACCCTCCTAACTGGAAAGTGAGATTTTCTGGATGTTTATATTTCTCAGGATACTATTTCACATTGTGATAGTAATATTGAATGAAATTAGATTTTTTTTACATAACAATAAAAGATGTCAAAATTTAACACATGTACTTTGTTACTCAGAGTTTGTTCAGGTATATGCATGTTGTTTTAACTTGCCAGATGAATTCTGAAAGTAAAACTTGAAATTATTTTCTAAAGGGATGAATCCCTAGGTCTTGAGCAGGGTGAACAGAATTTGTGTAAAGGGTCATAGGAAATATTTTATGCTTCCAAGCCAGATCATCTCTGCTACAACTATGCAAATCTGCACTAAAACAGCCATAGAAAATGGCAAAAGAAATGGTATGTTTATGTTCCAACATAACTTTCTTGAGAAGCAGTTATCTGGATAAATTTGGCCTAAGTATCATAGATTGCCAGCCCCTCATTTTGAAGATGAGAAACAATGTCAAGATTCTAGATATCTCTGATCTTTACTCGTATTCTTCCTATCCCAAAGGAATTAATTTTTTTCCTCCTTTATGAGCTGTACTAGGATATTCAAATAGCTAAGAAATACTCAGGTCTATATTTTATTCAGTATTACTCATAAAATTTGTTTTACATTGCTTCTAATTTATATTTAATTTTGTTTCTGCATTTATATTATTACTGTATCCAGAAAGATGAATCAAAATAAATTGATTCATTATTGCCAGAAAATACAACATTTATTAAAGTTTCCAGAGGAAGCAAAACAAGTGTAAAATATATGATGAGCTTAGTTTCAATTAATATTATTTTTATAATGTACAGAAGATTGCATTATTTATATAA